AACCCTAAAATGTAAACCCTATATAACCCCCCCGTAAGGAGTTTGGACCTAAACCCTAAACTCTAAACCCTATATAACCCCCCCCCACCTTTAAGGAGTTTACTACAAGCCCTATGTAAACCCTATAAACCCTAAACCGCAGACCCTTCCCCTGTAGGCAACCTCGACCCTAAACCCTAAGCTGAACCACCTCCCGCAATCATAAATGTCCGCTCACCGCCTAGTATGGATAAAAATCTTCCAGAGAAAATCCACGGTTAGGGGGGAACCTTAGACCCAAAAGACCTTCAGTTTTGGGACCCTATAGTAGAATTCTTCATATAAAAACCTAAAAACTGAAGGTTTTTCGGGTCTAAGGAAGAGGGGTGTCACCTAATTATTGAGCCTCACAGCGCCCGAACTTCAAATCCTCAACCCTACATCTCAGTCCCTGAGCCCTCAAACCCTCATCCCTACCACCTTAAGACGCAAGCCCGGAAGCCCAGAGATCCGAATAAAGCAAACTAGGTAGTATCCATAAACTTGGCTCCTAATGTAGGCGGTATTGGAAGTCCCTAAGCCCCAAACCATATGAGCTGCAGTCCAAACTCCTAGTATCCCCCTGAATAACCCCCTTAATACTCCCCTATATGATCCTTATATATATATATGTATATATTTGGTCCCCCCCTTGATCCACATTTATGTTTCTTCGCGTTCTCTTTGTCCTATCCTTGGAGTCATGAAGGCATGTCAGAACTAGCCACAAAACCACTGCTACTTACGGTATTTTATCCTTCTTATTAAGTTCATGATCTACGTGTTATACATGATATGGATGTATTTGAACCCCTGAAATCCCTTAAAAAGGAATCCGTTTGTGATTCTGGTTTGTGCATTTGGCTAGCACATACTAACTTAAATGGAAACATCTTAATGCACTTGAAGTCGTCAGTCATTTTTCCAAAGGCGGGTTCAGTTCCAGTGAGTGCACAACGGCATATTGCAATACTCTCGATTGGAGAGTCGCACTCATCACTGTTGGCCACAATTCTATCAGATTTCATGCTACTGTATCCATACTTGGCAAACGAACTGTGGCCCAATTGAAGTGAAACATGTAACTCACTTAAAAGTGTGGCTCTTGTTGTGATCACGGCGTACTTAAGTTCGCGCCACTCGGCCAAACGAAGAAATCTCTCAGAGATATCTTATTTGTATAGCTGCCCGTGCATAATGTAGACCTTGTAACCTTGGTTTCTTTCACACAACATAACGAATAGTTTTACTTATTTGTAAAAATAACATAAAAATACGACTTAAAATTTACCTATTCAACTTATTACTGCAGATGGGATACCGGATGAAAGGACACCAACGAGTCGCTGCCTATAGTTCGGTGCAGTTGGCATACTTACGGGATCGTCCGGACGTGTTGGAGCCGAGTGCTCCATCACTAATTCCACTGCTTCATTGGGCAACTGCCACCCAGGCTTGAGAAGCCAGCACCAAGCCAAGAAGACAACTGGATGACTGTTACTAACTTAATTACTGGATACGTCAGGAGCAAAATGCTGCGATCCAAGTCATAACTCATGCAAGTTTGAAAATGCAATCCACATGCACATTCAGGCATAAGCGCATAATATGTGTGCAATGATGAGGCTCACAATGTTTTCACTCACGCCGTCTCGTAGGGTGCTAGCTACGCGCATCAAAATTTGGATGTCTGTGCTCTGGACAACATCTAGCGGTTCTGATGCAGAAACCTAAGCATGGAACCAGTAACGGTCCATAGGTTCTGGCGTCTATGCCAGCGCTCGAACTGAGCACTTCTAATTTTCCTACTGAGGGCTTTGTTGCCGGGAATACGCGAGACACATTTCAAGTGGCTCCTCAAAAATCCCCGAAACCTGTCTAGAATTTGCGTCCTGCTTTTCACCGTGATCTTGCCCTGGCCGGGTATGTCAACCGTGTAGTTCTTGGTAAAGTGCGGTCGTACCCATACTGCCTCTCAAATCTTATGGGTCTTCATGTACTGCAAGGCCCCCATCGTTCTCTTCCCGCACCTTGGGCATGTTTGCCCTTTCCATTCCGGTAGGATGTGAACCTTCTTGAGCATGTTGATGAGCCTGAGTCCGTTCAAACTCAGGATGCCTAGAATGGAGACGCCCCACCGCTGGTTGGCCACCGTGTTCTTGGTTGTTGGGTCACCATGTGGTACGTAAGGAACCTTGACGTATGTTTTCACTGCTGGTCTTCGCTGAACACGTCGGTTGCCTCGTTTGGGTTCCTGCCAAACCTGCTTCATGGCTTTCATCACCTTTTTGGGCATGTTTCTATTCACAGAGAAACTATACAACCTACAAGAACAACACCTGTAAGAAAATGCTCGAGACAAATATCAGCGGCGATCACCTCTATAGTGTTGGTGTGTCATGCACCTAGCAATCACTACGTAAGTGCTTGAGGGAAGTTCGCGTGATTACATATAATAACGATTGCAGAAAGCAAAGAGTCAAGATAAATGACATGACTTGCATGTGGCTTCTTGTAGAAACGCGCTGCTTGTTTTTTCTCGTGGGCAAGGCGGTAACCTCGTAAGAGGAAAAACTCATGTCAAGATGCTCGTGCACGCGAGTGCTCCCTGACCATAACATCTACAATGTTGAGGACGAAACTTTTCCAAAAAAAAACTTTCCAAGATTCACAATCCATCGTAATATAGTATGGCACTCAAAACCGCGTGTCGCCATTCGGTAGACCATCTACTCATCGCGCTCAGGAGAAGCCACGTCCATAGCATCCTCATCCATGATGTTTTCGAGTTCTTGCGACAAGGACAACTCTGGGCACGAACCGACCGCGGGAATGACATCATCAACATCCTCTTCTTCTGAGACGGCACGCATGTTGGGCAGATCAGGATTCAGAATTGAAGAAGCCGGAACTGACGCAGATGCGGGTTCACCTGACGCAGGCTCACCTCGATGTCTCTTCGGAGATGGTGATGGGGAATCTAGGTTGATAGGATCGCGCAGAGTTTGGGCAGTGAGAGCTCTGGCAAAAGCGACATTCGTGCTTGACTCGTACTTGCGGTGGAGCTGCGGAGTGAGGAGCTACAGCAGGGGCGTGCGGACGATCACGCTGACGAAGAGCCTCCTCTAGCCAAGCGTTCTCCCAAAGCACTCGTTCCTCATGATTGGACGGATGCGGCCCTTGTTTCTTGTAGGTTGCGATGTGATGGGCTTTGCAGAAGCCGTCACTATGTCATTGAGACGCCAACTCATACACTTCACTTGTGTTTCGATTGGGCTAGGGAGACGCCAGTAAACTGCCGTTTTCGAGATCACGACAATCACGGAGCGCTTTAAGATGGCCATCTTGTCCAATTCGTGATGTTGCCTGAGATACGCGGGTAATAAAACATAAGTAGGACAATCCACCCAAGAAAAATCTTTAAGGAAGAGAAGGCACCCAGCGCTGGACGAATCATTTTCATGAAGCTCTCGTGGGAGATGGTCGGATTGAGGTCAGTCGGCATGGTTGGTTCTTAGAGTGGATCATATAGGAGTTATGTATGACGACGCGAAGTTGATTCTGCACGAATTTGGCAGCGGTCCATCTCTCCTTCGTAAGAGCCTCCGTGTCAGAAACATCAGAGAAGGCCTTCTTCTTGTTGATAAGTGCAGCACCGATGTCACCATCATCGTTATGGCCGGAACCTTTGTGGAAAAAGGGCGACCTCGAAAATAATCGAAGTCGCTACCGCTTCGGTAGCTCCCCGTTCCACTGTGGAACCTGCTGAACATCGTTGCAATGACTCGACCCAAAGGGGTCTTGCCTTTCCCTGGTTCCCCAAGTAGCCATAGAGAGTGCTCCCGCAAATAAGGGACAGTGCTCTGGAAGATACACTGGATTTCCTCCTCAAAGTCAGCAGTGAGGACATAGCGCGTCACTAACCGAGACATAGTGGCGTCAGATGCTAGACTATCCAAACAGCGCTGCACGGGGCCATCTCGCCAGCCTTTGATAGGCGTATCCCCTGTGATGGCCTTCTGAATCCAGAGTAGCTGTTTCAGACCACCTTTTATCCTTTTCACCGTGGAGACGAATGTACTCAAAGCCTTTGTCTAAATCCTCCTCCGATTTCTCTGGCACAGGTTTAGCAACTTTCTTTAGGGCCGGAGTCAAAGTGAATAGACGAAATTGAACGCCTCCAAGTTGCTCAAGCATGAATTGCAGAGCCTTCTTGGTGTTTTTGGCGTTGGTGCCCCACATGATTTCCTTCAAGGTGCCATAACCTGACTCGAGAATTAGGGAAGCCTTTACTTTGTGGTCCGGGATAAAAACGTGCTTGACGACACAATGCTTTCCATGGTTCTGGCGCACGATGAAGAATTGCATCAGGAACTTCACACCTAGATCTTTTTTGAAACCAAAAGGAGGTAGCTCCGACCACGCCTTGTCCCGAATGATAGGCCCCAGTGCATCGTACGAAATGCGGTCTTCGTGGTCATGGATGATGCCAAAGAAATGCTTCATCTGCTGTGCCGAGGGGTTGAGTTCACGAAGAGGTAGTAAGACTGGCGCCACTGCTCCTGCAGGCATGGGGCCGACCCTGATGCGCAGGGGGATTTGCCTGATGCGCAGGTCGTTGGTGGCCTCCAAAGCATTGCCAAGGGTGATGTTTTGGGGATCCATTCGCGAAAGTAAATGGTAAGGCGAAAAGACACTACACAAGACCAAACTCGAGCTTCACGGCTGCGAAAATGAAATAGTTGTTGCTTCATGACATTTGTGTAATTAAAACAACTATACCGAGTGGCAAATCGCCAGAAGCAGTGCCCAAGTTCGTTGTTTTGTTAGGCGTGCGCGGTCAGTGCTCTAGCACAAAAGATACGTGGGAACTATATGCCCAATTCCTAGCTCATCTCCTTTCAGGAGGCGGTCATCAAACTAAAATAAATGTGTATAAGCTATAAACGGACCCTAAACCCCATCCAAGCCATGTTATTTACACGATACTGCTTGAAATCCCCATACGTGAAAAGTATGGCCACCGGCATCCCGTACACTATTGAAAGCCTTAATCGTGCATAAGCCTTTTACGGATCCAAAGATTAACCCCTACATCCCTCGCATTAATGGGAAATCTAACCTTAGGAAAGCATGACATAGTAGTGATAATATTTATGTACCTGGTATGTGTATGTATTACATTGGGTTTTAAAGGGTTATGGTATACTATAAGAACAACCCTCGAAGTAGTCGCGCCAGACGATGAAGAGTACCTGAGCCAGGGTGCTTTAGGATTGTACGTATGGGCAAAGTGTTGAAGGTTGCACTAGCGTTCCATGCACATCCATGGAGTTTGATAAATATGTAAACACAAAAAATCACAAATTCGAAAAGTTACAAAAAATCCAGAATGGAACTGACTATGTCTGGAAATTCAAAAATTCCCAAAAAATCCAAAATGGAGCTGACTATGTCTGGAAATTCCAAAAAATGCAAAATGGAACTAACCATGTTTGGGATGACGTAGTCTTGTGATTCTTGGAACTTTTGGAAATTTTGGATTTTTGTTTTGAAGGCTTCGAATTTGTTTGTGGATGTGCATTGCAAGGTTTTCTCAACC